CCGCCCCGGAGGGCCGCGGGGGGGGGGGGGGGGGGGGGGGGGGGGGGCGTTGAGGGCAGGAGCTGCACCCAAGGGGAGGTCGTGGTGTCCCTCGCAGCTGGGCTCAGGTCCCCATCCACAGGGTGGGGATGGAAACCCACCTGGGGTCACCTCTGAGGCCCCGACGTGTCCTTGTTAAGGACGCGCAGTGCCTCGGGGTCCGAGCCAGCCCAGGCTGGGCAGGAGGGAGAAGCAGCGGCAGAGAAGGGGGTGCAGGTGCCCTCCTGCGCCGGGCGCTGCTCGCCTTCCCCAGAACTGCTCTCGGTGCAATTAATAGCAGCGTGATTGCAGCAATAAAACTTTGCAGTGCTGATAAAGGCGAGGGCAGCTGTGCCCAGCCCCGCGAGTGGTGATGCCGTGCCCGCGGGCTGCTGCACCCTCCGGCCCGCTGCTGACTCCAGCGCTGCGCTCCCGATAACAGCGTCATTAAACACTGCTGAATCAGGCCTGCCTGAGCGCCTTCTGCTGAATCAGGGCTGCATCCATCAGCTCCAGCCCGGGCACGGAGCTCTGAGCGGGATCTGCCAGCTCCAGCCCGGGCACGGAGCTCTGAGCGGGATCTGTCAGCTCCAGCCTGGGCACGGAGCTCTGAGAGAGAATCATCAGCTCCAAACCCCGGCTCCAGCCCGGGCACGGAGTTCTGAGCAGGATCCATCAGCTCCAGCCCGGGCACGGAGTTCTGAGCGGGATGCATCAGCTCCAGCCCCAGCTCCAGCCCGGGCACGGAGCTCTGAGCAGAGGGGTGACACTGACTGAGGGGCACAAAGCCCCCAAGCCGGTGCCAGGGGGCTGTGACAGGCAGCACAGGGCGGGGGGTCACCCCACTCTCACCCCCGCTGGGTGAGCACCCAGCACCCACCAGCGCCCCAGGGCACGGAGGGGCCGGCGGGGCCGGGGGAGCGCAGGAGGAGGAGGAGGAAGAGGAGGAGAAGGAGGATGGAGGCTCCTGCGGACCAGCATTCCCCTCTGCTGGTCGGCACTGGGATAACTGGTGGCCGCCAGCCAGGCGTTGGCAGGGAGCCGGGATCGGCTCGGTGCAGCCTGCGGAGGGTGCGACACACTGGCGACATTGGCACCGGCGTGGCACGGGGCGTGGGGTGCAGGCACTAGCGTGGGCACCGGGGTGAGCACGGGGGATGGGCACGGGGACAGGGACGGGGACAGGCACCAGCATGGCATGGGACATGGGGTATGGGACATGGGACATGGGACAGACGCTGGCATGGGATGGGACATGGGACATAGGACATGGGACAGACACAGGCAGAGGCAGAGGCAGAGGCAGGACAGCCTGGGCACTGGGATGAGCACAGGGAACGGGCATGGGCACTGGCATGGCATGGGTGTGGCCCTGGCTCTGCCC